CCTACAGATTTATTTTCCCTATTAAGCATGCGGTCGTCGGCTGCGACGAGCAAAAGCCAAGAGTTCCCGACGCTCGTAACCCGACCATCATTAGTTCAAGCCGAATTGATCAGCAAAGTACCGTTACAATAAGAAATTATGTCTATTTTGTGTAATTGCAAATTGCACTAGAGCTTTTACATAATAATGTAAATTTGTAAGAATGTATGTTTTGTGTATGGTTGTATTTTGTGTAATTAGATATGTATGCGAGAGATAAAATATTTTTCATAAAGTAAAGGCTATTTTAATGGAGAGTCATTAAAATCAAATTTTGACAAATAATTATCTGTGCACAAAGCATACCAAATATTTTCTCTCCCATTCCTCGAGGCCTGGAGGTGCAATTAAAAACATTTCATTAATTATTGCATATTTATTCATTAATGGAACTTGCGTAACTGCCGCGCCTATTCGACTCAAGGTGCGATACATTATTAATTAATTGGTCGGACAGTCTGCCGGTGACATACGAAAATTTAAATTTATAACACGAATAAATTTAGAATTTGATCTGACCGAATGGTTGTCAACGCGATAAGCATAGACGAGGAATTAGTTGTAATTTAATGTTGGAGGCGATACTTAGCCACGTCAGGTTAAAGACAGATTTACAGGATACTTGGTATTTTGCTTTTAAGCGTATTTTAAAAATATTGCCCGTTTTAATCGAACGATAGAAATGAGAATGCTGAAGTCTTATAATAGAGCATATTTAAAATTCTAGATAGGCTTCGGTAATTGAAAAATGGCTAAATGATATAAAAAGGCGCGAATGCCCGGAAATAAAAGATTAGGAGGTCGAGACTCGAACGATGTTTTAATATAAATAGCTTGAAAATTATAAAGGAACATGTGTTAGGTAGTAGAGGGAGAAATAAAACATGCTCGTCGTTTGAAATGCAATGATGTTAATTCGAAAATAAAAACCTGCTGATGCTCTCGACTCTATGTATAGTTTAGATAAATATTTTTTCATTCTTTCTAATCAGAAATAACTTACGATTACATGCACGGAAGACGAAATTTTGTTTCAAATGTGGTCTTGCGTTAGCGGTAATAGTAACGTCATCAAAATCAATAAAACATAGGAAAATTACACGCCTACATTTGTTACTTTTCCGAATATTAAATTGTAATAAGTCGGACGAGGTTAAATATTCTTTGATAATGATGCAAGAACAAGCTTAAAAATTCAAAAAAAAAAAAAAAACAACAAAAAAACGTACACTTGTGTTTGAATGATATTATGACTACGATAGCGTATGTGTATATATATATATATATATATATATATGTATACATTAAGAATAGTTCATAAATGCAAAGATACAGTTTTTATAGGGAACTCAATTTCTTTCAACGTTGGCTAAATACATATTAAAATTAAGTTCGTGCACGAGTGAGATAGCGAGATTAGACATTGGCTAGGCATCGTTTTCAATGAGCAGACTGAAATTTAAATAAGAGCTTAAGGTCTAGCGAAATCCATACAACGGCACGGCTCGAAATTTTTGAAAAAACATCTTAAACGACCTTTACCATATTCGGCAAATGCCAATTTCTCGATGGTGTTTACAGTGATATTATTAACATATTTTTCTTTTTTTTCTTCTTCTTCTTTTTTTTTTTGCCTCGCAAAAAATTCCTCGTACATTCAATGCACAACGAAGAATGTGGTATGGTAGAATAAATAAGATGGATTAACGAATTATGAAACGCTATATACGTTCAGTTATATCTGATGGTTGAGAGAGAAAAAAAAAAGAAAAAAAAAATTAGCAATATACGTGATTGACGTACATCCTGTTATTTTATGCGCTTCTGCTGAATAAGCGAAGGCGTAACCAAGTGTTTTTCGTGCTTGTGAACAGGAGTTTCAATGGCTTATTCCATTTCAAATAGAACGACCCTCTAATACATGTGTACGGTCATAATCAGGGAGTGAGGGGGGGGGGGGATCGTTGAAACGAAATTTTTGAAATTACATTCTAGTCGTTAATTAAAGTTGTAGGTCGTGTATCCTTAGTCAAGGCTAGTGTCAAAACACGTCAATTTTTTGTTTTTGTTTTTATTTTTGTGTGTTTTTTTTTTAAATAGCTTCCCATAATGAAAATTGATGCAAAAATACCATGGCGTCGGATGAAGATGCACGTTAGAATAAAAAAACGAATTAAGTAAGGTTTTGTGATGTACGGTCGTTTCTGCGATACATCATGATCCCTCACGTATATCGTTCAGACACAAATAAAATGGCTCGATGATTTTCAACTTTTACAAATACTCGAAACCTGCTTGTTTCGAATAGAAAAATGGCTTTAAATAACAAAAAAAAAAAAAAAAAAAAAAAAAAAAAAAAAAAAAAAAAAAAAAAACAATGAAACAAAGAAGATGAGGAAAAGAAGGACAGATTCTCGATGCAACGAAAACACCGTAGCTCCTCTGCATGCAACGAGTCCGTCAATATTGAATCATCTCAACGTTTCATAAAGCTTGAGTCGAGATGTAACTTCAGAAATAATATTTAGGAAACTAAGTTTAAATGACTTTTCGAATAAACGGTTAAATAATGAGCCAACGCGGTTGTAGTGATTACTTGGTATACCTAAAGATG